ATCATGCTTCAATGGAAGATGATTGACTTGCCTTTTAACATTGTGAGCAAAAGTGAGCACAATGCATACAGAGGTGAACATGCCTGTCCTTGGTACTGAAAACCATCCACACACAGGTGAACATGCCTGTCCTTGGTGCTGAACACTATCCACACACAGGTGAACATGCCTGTCCTTGGTGCTGAACACTATCCACACACAGGTGAAAATGCCTGTCCTTGGTGTTGAACACTATCCACACACAGGTGAACATGTCTGTCCTTGGTGCTGAACACTATCCACACATACACACACACATGAACATGCCTGTCCTTGGTGCTGAACACTATCCACACAGGTGAACATGTCTGTCCTTGGTGCTAATATGATATAGTAAACAAAAACAAACAAACTTATACTAACTTTGCATCTTTGTTTCATCCAAAATGTGATTCGCATTGTTTTAAGTCAAGCTGTAATGGATATAGTCACGCATCACTGTATGTCTTCCCCTTTATACTAAATCTATTAGTCGTGGCGATTATTATAGGAATCTTCCAATATGCTTGCGCAATCTCACTTTTAAATGTGCCGCCAATGAACTTGTAATTTGTAACTTCCTGAAATACATCACAAGTACAACTCTAAGACGTGTAAAGGTTACCTTGGGACACTTACACACCAGAAAATACCTTGTTGTTGAGAGGAATTGTCAAAGATGGTGGAGGAATTTTTCTGGAAAATTCAGCTGATTCTCAAGGAAAATTATGGACCACTCCAATGTGGTAAAATGGGAGGTGGTGAAAAATATTTGAATGGTTACAACTTGCAATCATAAGAAACGTATCAAGATATCAAATAGCAATGTTTATTTGTGATGATTATATGGATTATATGTGTACTTTATGTAACTGTTATAATATGTTCGACATTTTGTGGTCAATAAATTATACTAAAGAATTTTCTCCTCCACCCATTAATAGACTCGTCCGGTGACCTCTGACCTAAGTTGATGAAAAAACATGGCGGCCTGACTTCTAATTTCATCTGTGTCCTCGATTTTGTAACAGAATTCGTGATATTAGATGTACTAAGAACATCGTAGCTTTGAAAATGGCCTCTCTACTTGCTGATGCAGCGATCTCACAAAAAATCGGTCAGTCGAAACTCATCCTTTGCCTTCTTTTATATCTATAAACAGCGGTCACCAGGGATATAACGGTAGATATAACCAAATTATGATTTTTTTTAAACCTCCAATAGCTGACGTCTCTTTGGTACTGTTTCACATTTCAAGCAATTTTAATGTATAAGGGAATTCCCTAAGTACCTCTTGCCTTTTTTGTATATGTTGGTTGCCAGTGGGATATCTACTACATAATGTAATGTTACTGTATGTTCTGTTGTCATGTCACACATAGATTTGATAGTAACCAATTTCTACCAAAGTAAATTTCTAGTAAATTTCTAACAGTTGACTTGACTGGTATAGTGGTGAAGATAGCTCATCTATATTGCCACCAGCTCAACTATTGCCATGTTGGTGTGGAAGTTTTGAAACGTTTTATGACTGCCCAAAAAGCCTGGTACTAGTAGTCAGGAATAATCTTCGAACCCAACATCTGCTTGGAGAGCTGTCAATCAATTTTACATAATCTAATGTACTTATTAAAGTCTACTGGAAGACATGTAATTAGATTATTTGAGTATGTTTCTTCTAAAAATGCATATTAGTAAAGCCAGGTTGTTTTGTGTATGTTGGAACATACAGGCATAAATGTCTTGACAAAAATTAAAAAGTGATGTTTTCTGAATATATAAAAAAAAATGTTTGCAAAGCTTGTCTTTTTTTTTTTACCAACAGCCAGTGAGCCATGGCCAGAGGATGTCTGCCTCTACCAGCCTTATAAATGTAAGTGAAAGTACAACAGCAATGGGGGGAGGGGGCTCGTCACTGAATGACATCCAGTAAATTTCTAGCGGGGACCAATCAGAGGGCTGCTGAATAATTTGAATAATTTATCAAGGCCCACGGACGCGGTTCTTTCACTTGTAAGGTAGTATAGCCAATTACCACCGAGCCGGTGGCACACGATGGGCGAAAACATGTATTTCACACCCATTGTACGTCGACATAAAGCGCTTATACATTACAAACAGAATTTCGTAGGACTGCCATTACTTTAGTTTGCAGCATGTGTATTGAGAACGAGTATCTTCATAATTACACAAAATAACAGTAGATGTTTTAAGGAATTCACAGAAATGACAATGATAGATAATGTAACGCATATACATTATACAGCACAAAATAAAGAGTAACAGTAATGTAGTCGTCTTTGGCCGGGTATGGCAAGTTATAGTACGTACATGTATCGGTTCAATCTTTAACGGGTAAGTTGACAGCAACAAGCAAGATGCATAGGTTCTATTACTTTTGTAGCTAAACTTGCGTCTAGATTTGGGACAAACCCATGTTACTTTTTCGCCGCAGTTTTTCATGTAGTGGTTACTTCGACAGCCTTTCCGCTGACGCAAACATACTAGTTTGAGGTTCCACAGTTCTTACAACGTTAGCGCTTGAAGTGGTGTTTTCCAAGTTTGTTGGTCTGGTGATGTTGTCTTTGTTGGCTTGTTGTCTGTCATTTCCCTCCATTTTTATGTTTGGCGGCCCGTCTTCGATGGGTTGGGTTTGCTTCACAAATCTCGGCTTCGCTAAGATCCGTTCCTTCCCGTACGTAGTGGTCGCTCCATTAGCGCTAGTGCAGCCACATTTGAATGTGTAAAACTTAATGTCTATAGTCCCGTTTTGATTCGTTCATCAAAGTAGATTTTACTAAGGTATGACTTTACTAACTGATTGTGGAAGTACTAGTACTTAGTACTGATGTAAACAAGAAACAATACTAGTATACGCGCTCTGGTTGAGTTCATGGCATTTACATGAAACAAGGTGTTAATAGCCGCTAGTCGGTGACGCGTCAGTAGCCCTATGATTGGTTCCCGCTAGAAATCTACTGGATGTCATATAGTGTACACGGGGGAGGGGGGTGTCAATACAAGAAACTCCTGTCTTCTTCTTCTTCCATCTGCTACAGATTCATTTATGGCCAAAGTTGTGTTGAACCATGTACAACAGGAGTAAAAAGTGTCCATAAACCTATGTTAGTTAAGTCTTGACTTTTTGCCCCAAAAGTTTACAGTTAGTTCAAGTTGATAGCCAGCCTGATAGACTTTTCTTTTCAGAAGAAAGACTTATTACTTCAAATTCGCAATGAATTTCAAATGTAAATTTGATAATTGAAGATCTAAGTATGTCAACGATTGCTGATTTAGTAGCAACTAGTATTGTGTTGTATTGATTTCGAAGTCAGGATTTTTGCAATATACTCATTTCTATCCACATATTGATTTATTTTTGCTATTAAAGATTGAAAAAACATGTCTGTTTGACATGAATTGTTGCACAGGGATTTGATTTTTCACAGCCTAGATTATATTGCTATCCGGTATGTAGAAAACAAAGATTTATTACTCTTTTGACATATTATGTGTCGTTTCTGATCACATAAACTTGAAGCTGTCCCTGTCAAACAACATGATACATAATACAGTCTCAATTACCTTCTTCTATAGTATAATAAAACAAATGAAAATAAGATAACCTTCTAGTTCTAGACAATGGACAACTACTTTGTCACCCCTATTACCTTGTGGTCATGTGACTTTTATTTTGTGATGGGTCATGTTCTCTGAAGAAGGCACAGTTTAAACATTGATGTTTTGGGTAAACTTTTCTCCAAAAAAGTTTTCTATTTATGCAGTGGTAATTACTAACACATGACCACTCATGTTGATACAATGATGCTCACTATCTTGGTGCTTTGTCACTTCATGAGGTTCTAAAACTAGCACAAGCTTATATGTAGTTTCATCCTTGGCTCACTCGTGCTTGCATTCCTAGCTAACGAAGTTGGAACTGCAGATTCAGGTAGGATGTTGTCATAACTAAGAATATGCTGTTACTTTCACCTGTCGCTCTGCAATCCCTCTATGTATTTTCTTGTAGAATATTTCCATTGCATTTTCACATCCTACCGTCCACACAATACTTCTGTTCTTTCCTCTATGACCCGATTTACCAAAACCTGACTGTACAAAAACTGTGTTAGCATGCAAGCGTACAAAAACTGCGCACATCAAATTTTTTCTGTGTAAAGTGGTAAGTTCAGATCGTATGGCAGGCCTCAAGGTAGCATATGATCTGAACGCACATTGTTCGCACATTGAACACACATTCTTGATGTATGTCAGAGTAGGCCAATTGACTTGTGGGAAAAATTAGATGTACGCAGTCTTCGTATGCTTGCATGCGTACATAGATTTGTACCATCAGGAAAAAAATGATCTCCATCCAGTTTTAGCTCACACACTGAAGAGCTAATCTCCCACTGGTTGTGATAGAGAAGACAAACGCTGTACAGTATTTACAGGTTTATTGTACCGGGGAAATTCCCCGGTACAATAAAGCACGAGCACAATGAACAGCGGACCACAGTGACCCTTTCCAGTAGCGTGCATGTTGGGTGAGCAACAACAGCCGGGATTCGAACTCCCAACCTCTTGGTCCAGAGGCAGGGTTGCTAACCACTGGACTATGCACGCTACTATAAAAAACCGTCAGATTTTTGCTCACGTGCAAATCATGTCAATGTCGGTGAGAAGAAGTTTGATAAATGACAGAAAGTGTACGCAACTGGGAGAAGATTTTGGTGATCAGATACTGTATGTGTGGCACATACCTGTTAGGTACTAGTTGGGTCATTTATCACTTGTAGCAGAAATGACTACAGGAAGAAGCCTAACTTTGAACCACAGGGAAAATTACATAAATGACAAGAGTAGGAACAAAAGGGTCATTTTTCTTCATTAGACACTATGTTGCAATTTTGTAGTTTCGTTCAATGATATTATTCACTGTTACATACATGCATGTACTTGTATATATAATGTTACTCAAATTGCCAAGGAAACCAGTTGTACAACAGTGATTGTTAGTCGCTCTTCTATTGGCAAATATTCTTTAATTTTTCCATTCCAATTACCATACATTATGTTGTTCTTACTCCCCCTTCCATGCTTTAATAGCTAGAATATGATAGTAACCCCCTTTATACTATGTAAATGGAATGACCCGAAAGCAAAAAACATTGTTCATGTATGTAAATGTAAGTCAATGTAATACCTTGCTTGGATGGTTGAAGTTAAAGCATTTTCCCCTGTACAACATAACATCTATGTGAACGGTTGCATGTCTATGTCAATAATACTGTAGCAGTTAATATATTTACTTTTTTTGTTAACCAATTATCATTCAACACTTTAGTACTCTTCTAACTCTTTGGAACTCGTGGCAATGTAGGAAAAGTACTTTACCTATTTTATCTATCGTGTTGCTTAGTAGTTTTGCTTTTATCATTTTGTTTTCACAGTACAACAGGTGCTGCTGCCAGATAATGCACAATGCTTGGCTGTCCAGGTGAGTTATTGTGGCCAGAAGGCTTCTAGATATATTACATAGCACATCTTTGGAATGATCTGCAACCATATTTTCCCAAATTACATAGTCTACTTCAACATGGGTACAGGTATGTTTCAGGATATTTGGTGATCTTAGAAGAGTTACCTTATCTGACTTCTGACTTGTAAGAAGTTAAGAATGTTCAAGAGTAAGACTCAAAGTTAGTATCCGTTGGGTATGTACAGTGAACAAGAAACGTCCAAATTTTTCTTTGCTATACATTTACATTTTTTTCTTGCTTTACATGTACATCTCAGTATAATTGATCTGCCAGTAACCATTGAGTCTTTTCAAGTGTGTACTAGTATATCATTGTTACATCTCTGACATCATTTCATCAACCGCATGATATACACACATGTGACACAATTTCTGGGAAAAACAAATCCTTGGGCGACACAGTCTAGCACGACTGTTACCACAGGACAAGATCTATGACATCCCTGAACAATAATGCCACGCAGTTATGGCTGTGTCACCTAATTAGCGGTTTTAGTGAAGATTGAAAACAGTTAAAGGACCTCCCCTGTGCCGGCATCAATTTGGAAGTGTCATCAGACTGTGATTGTTTCACAATGGAAAAGAATAGGACCAACTACCAGATGAGTGTGTTGTGGCTTTGTTTCTCCCGAAGGGGTTGTAATGAGAGAGCATGTTCAACATGATACGGCAGGGTTTGATTCGGCTTGTCTAAAGCGGCTAATGGCATGTCTGTTATGAAGACAAAAGTTACCTTTCTGGTGGCATAATTAAACCCTGGGGACCTCATAAGTCTAGGTTGTTAGTGTGCGATGTTAAACTTAAAACTGCATGTGGAAGGGATCTATCAAGTTCACAATCATATATATCATTCTTATAGGTTGTCCATTTGGGAAGAAAATTATTCCCTTTTTTTTTTACAAAGTTTCATAGTCTGTTCTTAATAATTATAATTGTACATTGTAATGTGTTAGAAAATTGAATGCAAGTATCAAAATCAAAGCCTTGCTCTGTCATGTTTCAAGTACATGTTTGAGTTTTAAATATCATTTTCATATGCAGGTGCATATATCAACTGAACACCCTACTGACACAGATTATTTGTAAAAATCCCATCTTTCATCTTGTGAAGAAGAGCTCATATCTTATCTGCTGACATAAGTCCTACTAATCTCCAGCCATTATTTCATTTCAGTGCTATCTGCAGATGTGTGGTCTTCCCTTCAGGACAGTACTCAGAACCAATGCTGAACATATGTCCCCCTCAGGTAACTAAGTATGATGTACAAAATCATGTATAAACTGGTGGATCTACCAAGTACTAGTATCTAATACCTTGATGAAGATACACAAGTTACTCAAGAAGTTACTCAAGCTACATGAAATGTCTGACAGTTGTCAGTATCTATCCAATGGTTTTAGTAACTGTTTTCTTGAGTTTCTAGTACCTTGTGCTCCTGACCCAAGAGGTTGGGAGTTTAATACTTAGGTCTAGGAAAAAAAATGTTGTTTTATTTTCAGAAATAATTAATGTAGCTTTACTACACATAAAAAAGATCGGTTTTCTTCAACCCAAGCTCCTTACCTTTTGGAAATGGTCCTAAGAAGGTTTTATCAATGTATGAAGACACAAAACCATCAAGATCTCAGGTAGCCAAAAGCTCAATAAATCTTTCCAATGACATTGTCCTTGAAAAATTTAAAAGCCCTTCAGACAGTTGACTTACAGATTTTATCTAGAGAGCATAATTTCCTTCCTGGATTTGGAATGATAGGTCTTTTGTTCATTATCACTTTTTTGTACAATGCAGAGCTTTTTTGGGGTATTTAAGTCAATTATATCTTTTGTGAAGTATAAATGTTGTTTTCCTAAATAGATTTTTTTTAATCTGTTCAACTGGTCTCATTTTTCAAGTTGTACGTTTAAGTTTGAGTCTTGATAACTGCTGTGGGGATGTGCAGTAATCCATCTAATGTTCTCCATCTATCTAACAGAGTTTTCCATCAACTCTTCCCATCTTTCTGCTATTTTGGTCCAGGCCAGTACATTTGTCTTCGCTTTCTCTCTTCAAGATTTATGAGGATGTCATTCTTCCCCTGTTGGCTACCAACTTGTCCATTTATCAATGTCAAACCTGTCCAAAAGTTTGATCCAGGTTTGAGTTGGTACTTGCATTTGTTATCAGGGCTCGAAATATTGGGTGTATTTCTGATGTCTACCTGCACCTAACCTGCACTGGTCCATGTACTGGGTATATGCAGGTTAGTGCAGGTAAAATTGGAGCTGTGCAGGTATTTCTGATGTCTACCTGCACCTAATCTGCACTGGTCCATGTACTGGGTATATGCAGGTTAGTGCAGGTAAAATTGGAGCTGTGCAGGTATTTCTGATGTCTACCTGCACCTAATCTGCACTGGTCCATGTAATGCGTTTATCGGGTACATGTATATAGAAATAATACATTGTTATTCCTGATTTTTTGCGGTACTTTTATGTTCCCAGTTTTTGTCTTCACTGCTAATTCTGTACTGCAAACTTATCATTACCGCTAACAAATAATTTGCTGACTTTTTTTTCTGCACTTGCCGCCCAAACAAATAGGGATAGGTTTGTTTGTTTATTTGTTTGGGATGGGTTTTAACAGTTTTTATTATGATCCATACGATCCATATGATCCAGTGGTGCAGGTAAACTTTGTCTTGTTGCAGACAATATTCAATATTACCTGCACCAGTGCAGGTATGCAGAAAAAAAGTATTTTGAGCCCTGTGTATGTGATAGTCAGCTATAGGTACTTACAAAATGTATGCACAGATGATAAAGATCTATGTAATCCATCCATCAAGTACTTAATGAATAGCATCACAATTATTTAGTAGAACAAACCAGACAATTCTAGCTGCAATTAGTTGATATGTTATGAAATGAAGAATGTCCAAAATGACTGAAGAAAATTGTTTAATTCTCATTCAATTACAGGTTATGAATTCTTAAGTTATTAATCATCAAGAAAATAGCTGATTATATGACTTGTTATGTTATACATATATTATTTATGAATATTGATATGGTTGTTCCAGCCCATGTGATAACTAGCAGTATCACATAGGATTCTAACAGTTATCATGCAGATTTTTCAAATGTTCCATAAAATAATTTGGATGCTTTTTTGTGCGCCGAGTGTGCCGCTCTCACAAATTCAAATGCCGAAGTTAGAAGTTGGAATTGATGGCGTTACAATTTTTTGTTTAGGGACACCAAAATGTTGGCATATTTCACATTGAAATGGGTGGGTATGACATAAATATATATAACACAGTGTATTCCACATCACCCTCGGTCCCAGCCCTCACGTGGGTCATATCGCCCAATGTCTGAAGGCCTGTGGTCAGGCTGGTATAGAATGTACCTTGGCTGATTGATACAGAATACACCGTGTTGTATTCTATACATACACAGTATCACTATGCAACATTTTCACTATCTGGCAATTGTTCAAACGTATAAATCAAACTGCATGAGAAAACAGGGTTATTTATTTTTCTGGCAAGTTAATAAATAGTGGATTTCACCAGCATTAAAAGTGTTGACACCCACTGAGAGTGTCCTGCCAACTTTTAGTTTCAATTTTATGCCAATTTTTTTATTTTTTATTTTGTCTTTGTTGCTGTACAGGGAAGCCACCTTTCCTTCGTGCAGGGCCGTATGTCATCTCAGAAGTGGAGCCCATTATCAAATTTGTGTCCACTAAGGTAGACTTTCCTTCTTATCTGTAGTAGATTCTGTACCCAACATGAAGTACTAGTTTTACAGTACTGTATATGCCTGTTAACTTGTCCCTGTATTTTTGAACACAATTTACCATGACCACTGTTCTTCCTGTCCTGCTAAACTGAAAATCCAATCAACACTTGAGTGGTTTAAATGTGACGCCGTGTTGTGTTATGCCGAAGGGCGGTTATACTGGCTATGAAGATACAAATACAGATTTGTGTGTGGCTGTTCCATCTTGCAGGGCCACTCCCTGAGTGACAAGCTGGACAAACCCCAGCAAGCTGAGATGAAGGCATACCTGGCACTGGTGCAAGGGACTCTGGGAAATGCTGAGGTAAGGTTGAAAGGATACAACTAACGGCTGGTATATGACTGTGTGATAACGTCCAATCTGAGGGACGTCCCTAACCGAAGCTAGGTACTCATTTACACCTGAGTGAAGTGAGGAAAGTCATGTCAAGTACATTTCCAAAGGGCACAAGTTCGGTGACATCAGGCAGGATTCGAACCTGGAACCCCTTGGGTCTGACCCTTAAGCTTGTGACTTTGTGACAGTGGGGGGTATATAGGCGCTACCAACTGACCCGGCCGATGGGTCTAGACCTTATCGGCCGAGCGGTTAGAGCGTCTGGTTATGAAGCTCTGGTGCCCGGGAGGTCGTGGGTTCGAACCCCGGCCCGGGACCAGAAGGGTTTTTACTGGCCCCTCCTGTTTCTTAGGCCACACCAATTTAATTTCTTGGTTAACGAATTTTTCTAGAAAAATAATGGAGCGGGCGGGCGAAAAAATAATAAAAATAAAAACAGGCCTAGGCATCCTATTATGGCCCAAAATGGTACGATAGGAGCCATGAAGTCAACACACCAGGCTGGTTCAAAATTTAAACAATGAATTTTGAACTTTTAATGATACCATTGCATTGAAAGATGGAGTAACTGTAACAACTAGCAAGAAAAGGACTGTTTTCAACTGTTCAGGGCAAAATATGAGCATTTTGCAGTTGATTCTGAATTTTTATTTTTATTTGCAAATCAGAAAAAAATGAAGCGGGCGAATCCGTTAACCAAGTAATTAAATTGGTGTGGCCTTACAGTGGTTCCCACACCGGCCCTGGGAGTGTTTCTTACAACTTTCTGGTGCAGACAAATTTTTGAGATTGAATGTGGGCAAGTACTTTTATGAGGCCTTCTAGTGTACATCACTAGTGTATGTGTAGCCTTCAGTGGCCAAATGTAATGGTGGTATCTACCCTGAAGACCATCACTATTCGTGATCACACAATGTGTACTGGTGCTTCCCAGTCCAACAAATTGGGGGCAAGTTTTACATCATGCCAATCAGGGCATCCAGTTTTAATTCCTGTTTTCAATTAGAACAATGGAAAAAAATCGGAGGTTGTAAAAGGCATGGCTGAACTTACTTCCAGTTTTGAACACAGGTTTTAGAATGGCTATAAAACAGTAAGTGGAAGATTGCAAGTTGATGGCATCAGTGAACATTGTCCTTGAGATTTTAATATTGGAGAAACCTTGCTGAGAGTTTGACTCCCATGCTATTTGTAAGGCTGCCCATCGTTCACTTCTGTGTACTACGGTATATCCAGTAAATGATAAAGTTAATGATATAAAGTTTATTCCAAATACATGCCCAAGGGCTAATTACAAGTACAAACAACATGTATGAAAATATACAATGATATAAGAGACTACATCTAACGTTATGCTACATTCTACAACATATGTGGTACTAGTTTGGCCAGGTTTGACTTCTTCTTTAGAGGCAGTTGAAGACAAAATTTTACCCACTTCTCCTATGATACATGGGTTCTTTGATTTAGGAGCAGAATATACTGAATCAGCATATGCATTTCCATACTATTAGTTCAATACCATGTTTAACTTACTTTCTTTCAAATTTCACACTTTCATATTTGAGGATAACATTTTTTTTCTTCATCTCTGGTATCTTTTCCATTTTCCCCATTGCACAATCAAAAGGTAATAAAATGCCATAAAATGGATTCTTTGAATTAGTGAGGCTTGATCCGTAAAATTGATGTTAAGTTGCAATCAGTAGGTAATTAGTTCACACAGTAGTGTTATGTTTTTATTGGCTAACTTGTTGAGTTTGTTACACAACTGCTGGTTCTTGTATTAGCTTCAAAGGTGATCTGATTTACTGAATTCTTTATTTACCTGTATTTACCTGTTTTATGTTTCCTTTCAAACAATGTGGAAATACATTCCTGTTTCTTTATAACTGTTTCTTTAGAAGGATATCAGTTAGTTGAAGAATTGTTTTTTCTATCGTACTGTCTGATTTTTGCATTAAAGTTTTAAATTTTTTTTCAAAGAATCGCTAATCTGTAGCCTGCAATACTAGTATGCTCTTGCAACCCCTCCTCCCCACAGTTCAAAAGTGGACTGGTCCGTATGACCTTATTAGGCATTCCCCACAAACAGAGCATGTCGGACAGGTACACAGGTGTGAAATCAGGTTGAGATAAATGGGGCGGTGTGCACGGCTGCACCTGTCAGCTTTCACCTGTCACCCTCCACCCGTCCTCAACCATGCACACCTGCGGTCAATACACGTCGTTATGTCTGCTTTACATCTGGGCATCTCCCGAACAATTTATCGACATCTCCGCAAGCTTTATTTATGATTTTACGATCTATTCTTGACAGCGCTATTACCAATCCACCATTTCATGGTCAATTTTACTGCCAGAAGGAGTAAATAGATTATTTTAAAATTGGTCAAATTAAGACATTAGGTTGCTATATCTAGAAAGACTGCATCACAATTGTTGTTTTATATTTTTGTTCTCAAGTACTGTTTATGATATATAAGCACTTGTGCTTTTTGCCTGATAAATATATGTGAATACTAGATAAATACCTGATAAATACATGTGAATACTAGATAAAATAAATAAAAAAAAGAATTAAGTAAATTACAATTGACTTAATAGTTAGTTTTTGAAAGTTTGAAAGGTGAAGTAGAGTTAATTTCAGAAGAGTTTTCAGTGACAAGTACAGATTCTTGTATCCACAGCGTTCAAAACCCTCTGAGAGAGAAGACAATTTGTCCATGTACAAAGTGCGCAATTGTAGCAATTATTTTTAATTGCCTTCTCGATGCAGGTAGGGGATGAAGACCCAGGGGGTGGGAGGTTGTCAGTAGATTGTGTGTAAGCTAGTTTTCATCGCGATCAATTTCCAAAATTGCCTGTGATGGTGGTTATCATATAGTTTCTGCAATAAATGACTTACACAGCGCTGCGTTTTTATAACCTGAATTATAAGATCATCTCTTCTTAATTTCCAAATGGAAATCTATTCAAAGTTCAATCTTACTGGGAAATTGTTCATGATGTAATGTTGTAATTATCACTGTTTTATTACCTCGTTAAGTCAATTATCTTGCTATAAATAACATGCAATCAATGTTTTTCTGTTGAAAGCTCCATACAAGGTAACTTTGCAGATATTATTCCTGATATTCACTTTGAAATAGCTGTCCTGACCACCCCTTTTAGAATGGAGTGACCCAAAAAGAGAGAACAAGGACTTGAAATATTAATAAATTGTCTTCTTCTAATTAAAATAGATAGACTTTGTTTAAGACTTGAGATGTTCCCTGTTGTTACATGATGCATCTAGAGCTTTATTCTGGCACATTGACATATGCAAAATTCTGTTGTACATGTACATTTTGTCAAATACAAAACAGAAGCAAAAGGTTTAAAAGCATGTATATATCTTTATGTCCTACCTGGACCGCGATTACGTTCGATACGGGTGTTCCGGCCCGTGTGATAACTAGCGGTACGGCCCGGGGGTTCTTAACGCGTACGGCCCAGGCCTTCCAAATGTTCCATAGAACGATTTGAACGCGTTTCGCCCTAACCGCTTGCACCGCTTTCGGAAATTCGAATGCAAAATTCGGACGTTGGAATTGATGTTGTTGCATTTGTTGGGTTTAGGGACACCAAATTTTCGCTCATTTGGCATTGAAAGGTGTGTTTTCTTGGGTTGGTATGACATAAATAAAATACAACACAGTGTATTCCGCATCACCCTCGGTCCCAGCCCTCCCGCGGATCGGATCGCCCGACGGCCAAAGGCCGGAGGGAGATCCGATCCGCGGGAGGGCTGGTACCTCGGGTGATACGGAATACCCCGTGTTGTATTCTATATGTATCTGTATCTGTATAGCCGGTATAACCGCCTTTCGGCGTAACACACCAGCTTCGCAGGCACGCCGATTACACCGATCGACTTGTTACACCTAACCCTTGAACTTCTAGCTCTAGACTTTGTTTAAAGCTATCTAATGACAATGCCCCTACTGTACTTGGTGACAGTGAGTTCCACTCTGCAATAGTTCTAGGAAAGAATGAATTCTTGAACACCTCAATCCTTGGTTGATAACTCTGGTACTTTAAGGCATGGCTGTTTTACACATACAGAAAATTTGTAAAGAGGACAGCCAGTATTCTGCCTGAAGATATATTAGACAAAGAACAGTAACACAGTTCTTGTAGAATGCCTGTTTTGAGTGTCATGCCTGGTACACTTTCTGCTCTAAGTTTTCCCAGCATATAGATTTTGTATAGTAAGGACACCTGCATTAAGGTTTAACTGTTGAACTTGATTATGCGGAAAATAATGTTTTATTGAGCTCTTTTGTACATATCAATATTTATGGCCACACCAATTTATTGGTTCTCGGATTCGCCTCTTCATTTTT